CCGCTGCTGCTCCGGGCACGCTCGCGCTGCGGTGGGAGCGCTCGGGGCGGGAAGCTGTGCCTCAGGGCCGTGCGCCCGGTGGGGTGAGATGCTGCGTGGTGAAGTGAGATGTTACTTGGGTGCGTTGAGCTGCTGGCGTGGGTTTTGCTACCTCTGCCTTCCCAGGCGTGCGGTCGTGTCTTTTCGTCCATCTGGGAGACGACAGCAGCGGGGTGCTGTGTTGTCACATGGCTATAAAAGTCAGAGTTTTATTCCCTTATCTTCTTAAATCTGTGTCACATTTCACAAGAAGTATCTGACCCTTCATGGTAACAGGGCATCTGGTCCGTACTGAAGGGAAGTGCGGAGAACCGTGATCTATATAATGATCATCATTACATAGAAAATTACCTCAGAGAACCTTCTGACCGCTCTAGAGTTTGTATTTTAAGAGATTGAAATACACATATTTTGAACCAATAAACTCTGTTGCAATCCTTTTATTCTGAATACTTCATCTTTGTGCTGGAATTGATTTGACAGTGAAATTAATAAACAGTAAATATGATTGTTTTCATTATCTCTACTTAAAAATGCAAAATTGAGGCAAATGGTGTGATGAAAGATAGAAAAACAGTTGTTACAGTCTCGGGGTCTGTCAATGCCCCGTTGTAGGGTATAACACAGAAATGTCTGAAGAGGGTCCAGTCCCATACTGAGTGTCAGTGTAGCACATAACAGTGTCCTGAAAACGACGTCACTGTGTTAGCAATGTTTTGGGCACCCAGGACTCTTCCTAGTTTGTTTATACCAAGCCTCTTGATAGGATTTATTAGCATGGGGAGTGGGTTCAGTGGATCTAGAGCAATCCCACACTGGTAAATATGCAGGGAGATGCCGTCTGCTCTCCCGTTAGCCCATAGAGCAGCACTGTAATCAGCATAAATCAAGGTGATGGTATGTTACCCTCAGGAGAGCCAGTGCTGTTCAGCGGTTTGCTGCCCTGCTTCTCCCTTTTGTTCAGCTGCAGCTGTGCAGTAAGTTGGGTCAGCTCACACATGCAGCCCAGAGCAGGCATGCACGGCTGGACTGAAAGGCAGGGCAGGGCAGTTGCTTTTGGCAGCCCCCTGCACTCAGGGCTGCCTAAACTAAACAGAACGAGTGTTATCTACTCCCACATCTCTATGCTTTAAATCCTTGAGGATACAGATGTCTCCTTCTTCATAATAGATAGCTTTTTAAAAATGTGATTTACAGCTTAACTAAGCTGTCCAATGCAGGCAGATTTATGTATTCACAGATACATGAAAACTTACTTAGTCTTGCTTTGTACTAGAGGGGGTCATACACGGTGTGTTTAAGACTGGTGCTTTTTAAATAGGTTCCAAGTACGAGATTCATGAGAGAAGCAAAAGACTAATCAATACCTAGAAGTTTAACAGTGTCTTTAAGATCCTTTTTTTCCATGTCCACCTCTGATAATTCTGTCTGCTCTAACATAATTCTCAATCATAGAGGGCAACAGCACTACCCAAATTACAGGAAATGTTAATTCTGCATTTAAATTCAAATTTTTTTTCTTTACATCTTCATTTTGTTATTAACATTTTCTTTTTCAAAAGTGTGACAATTTGAGCCTGATTTTCTGTTTTACTAGATTCGGCTACTTGCAGTGGGGTCTTTCTGAGACTATTAGCAGCTAGTAAGTTTGCTTTTTCTCCTTGTGACCAGTTCACGAGGGAACTCGCAGCATGAAGATGACCAGCCTTGCAGGCACAGTGCAGTGGAGTGTCCTTGCTGCTGTCTAAGGCGTTAACAGCTGCCCCGTAGCTCAGTAACAGCTTGACCAAGTCACTGTGTCCGTATTCCGCTGCAATATGCAGCGCGGTCTTTCTCCAAATGTTTCTGTCGTCAATATTTTTATTTTTCCCTGATGTCAGAAGAATTTTTACGATCTCTGTGTTTCCTTTCATGGCTGCATAGTGCATGGGAGTACATCCATCCATGTCCTTAGCTCCAAATCTTCCTTTTTTAGCTAGGAGGACTTTGACGACACTGAGATGTCCTCTCACAGCTGCAGCGTGCAGGGGGGTCTTTTTCTCCTTGTCTTGCGCATTGGGGTCAGCGTGAGCGTTCAGAAGCATCTCTACTATTGTTTTGTGTCCCCTTTCAGCAGCAAAATGTAAGGATGACTTTGACTGCTTATCCTTAACGTTAACATTGGCTTTGTGGTGCAAGAGCTGTCGGGCAACGTCGCTGTTACCTCTTTGACTTGCAATATGCAGGGGAGTAACAAGCTCTTTAGTGACAGCATTGATTTTGGCCCCAGCGTTAACTAAAAGGTCAACTAACGCTCCTCTGTTATGAAGCGCAGCGACGTGGAGCGGGGTTTCACAGGCTTGGTTCACAAGGTTGATCTCCATCCCTTGGCGCAGAAGCAGGTCTGCGATGGAAGCAGCCCCAGCTCGAACGGCCAAATGCAAAGCTGTGTCTGAAGCAGGAGTCTTTATTCTGACATTTGCTCCCTTTTCAATTAGAACTTCTGCTGATTCAGCTTTGCCCATTTCACACGCCACGAGCAAAGGAGTGTACTGCTCTTCGTTGCAGGTGTTTATATCTGTACCTCTGTCAACTAAAGCTGCTACAATACCAGGCAGGTTCTTCTGTACTGCCCTAAAAAGAGCCAACTCCATTATGTCAGAGGACAAATCTTTAGAATATTCAAGTAGTATTTTGAAGATGGCTGGGTGGTTGCTGTTGAAGGCTCTTTCGGCCGTGCTGGAATCCACACTGGCTCCAGCTTCTAGCAGTACTTTTGCAGTATTTTCAGACCCCTGAGAAACAGCGTAGTCGAGAGCAGTCTGTCCTCTTTCATCCGTTCCATCAGTGGAGGCACCAGCCTTTACAAGCATTTCTGCCAGACCGCTGTCATCTTTAAGAGCTGCCATGTGCAAAAAGTTGTGCTGGTTCCTGTAGCTTCTCGCCTCTTCTTTCAGGAGCATCTTCAGTATGTGACTGTGGTTATTCTGTGCAGCCAAATGAAGTGGGGTCTTGCCTTCCGTATCCAAACTGTACATACAGGCACCACACCGGAGTAGCACTCTCACTGCATCACCGTGGCCTTTCTCAGCAGCCCTGTGCAGTGGTGTTCTTCCTTCCTTATCCTTCACATCTGTCTTTGCACCCTTGCTGATCAAATACTCCATTAGCGTTAGATGACCATTAGTGGCTGCAACGTGCAGAAGTGTCTCACTTGAAAAGTGTAGTGCATTGATATCATTACCTTTCAATGCTTTCTCTAACTCAGAAAGAGAGCCTTTAGCGACTGCAACAAAGGTGCCAGCATCAGCGTGATCTTGCCTAGGTTTTGCTGCCCTTGAAAGTCGAGTTTCTTTTCCTTTCCTCTTAACAGCTCGTTCTCGCTTTTTTCTTCCACGACTGACATTTTTTTCCTGGAGCTGTTCCCTGCTATTGGCAAACCAAAACTTGTCTTTTTCCAGTAAATACCCTACCAGTTGTCTTCTAGCATCTCCAATGCTTTCATTTACATCACTGATGTATTTTCTCATCTTGCTATAAAGTTTTGGTTCAATTTGCTTTAAACACGGATAAAAAAAGAGTCTGCAGGCTCGTTCGCCTTGAGAAATTAGTATGTCTAAAACTCGAGAGTTCTTTTCTGTTCTTGTCCTGTAGAAACTCATGACTGTCTTCTTTTCTGGAGTGAAAATGCCGTTATCTATGAGCCAGTTCAGAAGGTGGTCTGGGTCAGTTATGCCCTCTATGAGCTCTTCTTTCTTAGTCCGTAGGACTTCGATTGCGTAGGGATTTGTAAACAGGCTGGTTGAATGCATGATCGTGTGGCTAATCAAAACATTGATTGAGCTGTTGTTCTATGTCTGAAGTTAAATATGAAATAGCGAAGCAGGCTCACATCATTTCACATATTCTTTTCATAGAACTATGAACCGACAACCGTTGTAGCTCAGCGATAAATCTTTAAAGGATGAGAAAGAAACCAAAATTCCCTCACCTTTGGTTTTCTTGTTGTTAGAAGTCCTTTGATCTTCTCTGTTCTTCCTTAGCAACAAGTGAAGTTTAATAACAAAACAAAAATCCGTGATGTGTAATGATAATCCACTTGGAAGACTTCTTCCAGATTTTATTATGCGTAATTAGGGAGAAAAAAAATGCCTTTGTGAATCTGGTATTTGAACAGAAGACATTTGTTTATCAAGTTCTGCTTCTCCGGCCAAGATGTTTTTTTGTAGGTGCCTAAATGACCCGTCTGTTAAACATGACAAAAGGAAAGTCACAGCGTAGTTACTGTTACCATGATTCCACACCTTGTATGACCTTAAATGAAAGAGTACACATTGCAAGCTACGTAGGTGAAAGCCCTGTAATGTGATGAAATGAAAACATGAAGACCCAGATAAAAATAAACTGTGTGAGCAGCTAGTTACAAAAAGCAATCTAATAGGAGTTACAACTTCAGTCTACGAGGTGTATTTAACTTAAAGGCTATTTGTCGTTCCTGCTGTAACCTGGAGTCTGTCTGGAACTTAATTCTTGTACTCGAGGTGGATCAAGGCGTGTGATTCAGTATGCAACATTTAAAGTATAATTAAATCGAGCTTCAAATCTGTGAATATGTGTAGTATGGGTGTAGGACCTTTGGATCAAGCTGTAATTAATTTAACTTATTGGGGTTAAAATTCCTTATGGAGAGAAGGAAATAAAACAATAATCATATACATGTTTTGAAACCAGTTGAGATTACAGAGTACTGTAAGAGCTAGAAGTAAAATGATCTGAAAAGCTGAAAGCTTGACCTTATTTAAGCAAAAGGGAAATTTTCCCATCTGGTTCTTAGTTGAGTTCCCTTTCTGCTGGGTCCTGCTACCTTTGCATGTGTTTTCTTTAACACTATGTACAATGAGACTGATAAGATTTTTATTTTTTTTTTCTGTTGACTTTTAGTTTTATAAGTGAGATTGCAAAGCTTATTCTACTAAAAAAAAAAAAAAAGATTTATTGAAGAAATAGCTGGGAAAGGCAAGACTTTTAATATATATTTTGAAAGCCAGCCAGTTACCAAGTCAGCAAATTTGACAGCCAATTTAAGAGCCCAATAATTCCTCTGAAATGTAAAGAAGGGCACTATACCAAGAATAGCAAAACCTGTGTCATTTAGCTAATGATCGTTAGCACACAGCATGGAAAAGTATGGTTTATTGTAGGGAGTCAGGAGGTCGGAAGTGCATCCCCAAATCTGCCAGTGACTCGGTCTGTGTTCTGCAAATTATTTAGTCTTCAGATTTGACTTAACAAAGTACTGAAGATCTGGCCTTAAACTAAGGGTCCTTACTTCAAGTTGGTGAAATGAGATCTTTATGTCATCATTATTGTTATCCCTAAGCAAAACAGAGGCAACAATACGTGGGAAAAGACTGTGTGAGTGCTGAGCAGTATTGTTAATATGGACAGCATAGTAAATTTTGGAACTCCTGAAAAATTTACATCCAGAACTTGTGCTATTCTTTAAGAGTGGATAGTGTGGCAGTACTTTCCTAGTGTCCTGAATACAGAGATTCTGTTAGTAAACACTACGAAGTGAAGGGTGCAGTACTCCTAACTGGCCTAGAGGAGGAACATTTGAACAATATATTCAACCAACATCTCTTTCAGAGCCACTGTGGGACTTTATTTTGGGAAAATAATATGCAGCAAATCACTTTTTACGAGATGCAGAGTCTTCGAATCATAATTATACATGTTTTAAAAGAAGTTCTTTCATTATATGTATGTGACTTATGAGGAAATTCCCTCTTAAAACAAGAAAGGCATTTGACAAGAAAAGTTTGGAAGTTTGTTGTATGGACTAATTTTTAGAAATTATGTTTTTAAAGCCTTTATTTTTTAATTAGTATTTTAACTACTTTTAGAATTAAGCCTTTTTTCCAATAACACCTTCACAAAAAGATTAAAAGCCCAAACAGTTGAGAAGAAAAGAGATTCTTAATTGGCTATTCGAAGCATACTTTTTGTTTATCTTTTTAACTTGTTAACTGTTTATTTGACATATAAATGTTTTAGAGAAGGGTAAAATGTTGTTTCCACACCTCTTCTCCTTTAATTAAGCACATGAGACCACGGAAGTGTGGGATCACCAGGAAGCTCTTCATTAAAAATAAGAATGGCAAAATGTAATATTATTAAAGATCTAAGGAAAGAAGTAAGTTGGAGAGAGGAAGAGGCAAATCTTTATTATCTTTTACATTTATTTTTTGTCTGAGGGGCATAAGGTGATTTTGTTTTCCTTGCTAAGTATTTCACAAGCCACTTATTTCTCCTGTCTTCTTTAGCTCCAAGTATCCAAGGACTTTTCCTTATTAGGTTATTTTGAAAATAAAAGGATGGGGTTTGTCTCTGTCTTCTTTGTCAGATAGCACTTAAGGATCTTTGTGTTCAGTAGTAGGGATATGCAGTAGGGATACGCAGCAGATCAGCTTATAAGCATTGCGGAAATACTACGGTTTTCTCTGGAAGGACATGGTAAAAATTACTGATTAGTACTAGTGCAGGTTCAGCTACAACAGTGTCATCAGAGTAGCCTCGTGCTGTAGCTGTGCTGGTGGTTTGATTCCGTGTGCTGTCAAGAAGCCTGTAGCGAGTAGACTGGCATGACACAGAAATGCTGAAAATCTTCACACAGACCACTTAATAGACCTCTAATATCGTTGCTAAAGGCAGGCGTAAGACTCTGTGTGTGTCAGATTACCTTAATTCAGACAGATCTGTGTGTAAGCGGCACTGACTTGGTGGGAGATTGTCAGCGGGAAACAGCATGGCAGAACTTAGAGCAGGCCCTGAAACGGGCGGGTGATGCTGGTGATAGGAAAGATCTCGGTCTGGGCAACGGGGCCGGATACGCAGCCTCTGCTCACTGTTTCGACCCAGCTGTGGCTGGTCTGAGAAAGGAGGCTTGAGCCAGTTATTTCTGACATGCAATCTCAGTTTTGCTACTAATTCGTGTCCTTGGGCAAATTACTTAATCTCTGTGCCCTGTTTACACAAGCATTAAAAAAGGAAATTTTTTTCTACCTCACAGACATGTCCTAAGTGTTCATTAAGGTTGGTGCAGTGCTTTGAAGTTATAGAGTGCTTTGAAGTTTTTGTCCTTTGAAGTATTGTTTTCTGACTTCTCAAAGATGAACATTTATTTCTTAAATTAACACGTGCCTATGTTTTCCAGCTTATGTTGCTATGTCATCATCAAACATACATTTCATTTTTTCTCTTTTACTGTAGCTGCATGGTTTTAGGTGGCCATGTGCGGTGATGTGGCCGTGGGAGTGAGGAACCCACAGAGGTCACCATTTCTCCACTGTTTCTCCCCGTTTCTCCCTTGTTTCTCCCCGTTTTTTCCCCCGAGGCTTTCCCAGCTGAGCCTGGGGCCTGCAGCCATGGTTCCTCTCTTCTGCTGAAGCTGCATGTGATGCAACTGAATGACTTCCAGTAATTTCTTATGTTCTCTGGGGCATTTGCTTGATAAAATTGACAGAAAGCCAAATGTTAATAACACGGTTTCACTCACCGTGATATTTTTATATTTCCCAATGTGTGCTTTAATTTCATTTAAGACAATTGCTTATAGTAATGCCAGCTGTTTATTGGGAACATATCTCGCTGTAGAATAACTAGTCAGTAAGAGATAATAAAGCCAACATCATTATCTAAACATCATGAGGGATGGGGAAATGTGTCTGGGTAATCAAGACATTCTCATTAATAAATGTGGCTCAGGAATAAAGCTTTGGATAACCAGAGATCTAAGTGTGGCCTAGCCGGTTGAGGTTGCACTATATTTAGGTATAGCTAGACTGAGGAACAGCAGTGTTAGAAGTGTTCATGATGATGATTAGAGTGTACTTGACTTATTATAACGCTGGAAGAGAAGCTGACTAGTCAGGATGTCTGCAAGAGAGACAAAATGTAGCGCTTAGTTTTGCCTGAAGATTAACTGCAGTAAATCAGGGAAGTCAAAAGGGGAGCTTTGGCACTGAGTGATCTTGTTTGTGTTAGTCATATTTCTGCAGAGAGTAGGCTCGGGGCCTCCCTGGTGCTGAGAAATCTCTACCCTGGCTGGTATGAAATATGGGGTGTTCCCTGGAGTGGTGCCGTCCTCGGAGTGATGCTGGCACACTTGGAGTGTGGGCATCATCGGGTGCCTGAACAGGGCTTGCTGATGGAGGGAGAAGGCTGGTCTGTCCACTCTCACATTTTGCTCCTCAGACTGGCACCCTGGGCTCCCATTTCACCTCTGTGACTCGGGCGTGGGCAGGGCATAACCGCCCCTGCAAGTCCTGTGCCAGACCCTACTGGAAAGGGGTACTTCGCAGAAGCTTCCCAGCTTTGTCCACTGTTCATGGCTGCTTCCGAAATACCAAGGAATAATACAACAGCTGATATAATCATTTGGGTATTTTATTCTGTTTCCAATGCAAGTCACGATGTTATCCCAGCACGATGGTACTACTCCCTCAAGTCTAGACAAATGAAGATCTTAAATACTGTGCCTGTACAATGCAAATTTTTTTTTTTTTCCAAGGATTAGTGTGTACTTATATGACGGTCCCAACCTGGGGTAATTGTAAATGGAAAATTCACTTCTGCAAAATGCCACTATGGCTGTGAAGCTGATAGAGCAGGCTGTCTCTCTGGATCCAACTGGAGGCATGAGGCTTAACGTACGTAACTCAGCCACAGTGAGCATTAGGATTGTTTCACAGTTTAGCATGCATATACTAGTGAAGTTTAAGAAGACTAACCAAACTAATTAGAAACCATT